GCTTCGGCCTGCTCATTTTGACTTTGGCGGCAAAATTTGCCCACGAAGGCAAACCAAACTTTTACTTCGAAGCTAAAATTTGAGCTTTGCAATTTAACTTCGAAGGGAAAGCGAAAACAGGCAAAGTCAAAATTTTTAGCTTTGGCTTCGAAGTCAATTTTCTGGCTTCTTTGGTCTATTGGGTAAGCCCTTTACCTTGAACTCTGAGCCCTAAACCCCAAACCCTAAACCCGAAGCCCTCAACGCCTCAACGCCCACCCTAGGAACCGCCTGGGCCAGCGGAACATTCAGATGGTCCGGGGCCTCGATCTCACTCTTCTTTCCGGTACTAGAGACCCTAAGGCCCTATATAGTAGGTACCTGGAGGGTTAGGGGTTGTTATGATGATCATCATCATCGCTTGTATTGAAGGTTCTTTTCTGTCTTAGTCTTCAGGGAGAATTGTATGAATTCGTACTCAAAACTTATATGCCCCGATACCTTCTGGGGGGTGTGGGGTGTATAGGCTTTAGGGGTTTAGGTGCTGCGGTCCTTAGCTTTTAGGATACAGTGTGTTGAGATTTTGTTGTTCTGAAGCAGGAGCTGTGCTCGATATGCCTGGTCTTCTCCGATTTCTACGCCCTACACGGACCCTACAGAAGAGTAGAAGCGATTTCCGAAGAAGACAAGAGTTTAGCGGTTGAGGGTTTAGGGCTTAGGGTTTAGGGTTTAGGGGCTAAGAGATGAGGTCAGCAGTCCCATGATCCTCACGGGCTATGCGGCCTTGAACAAGCTCTTGGGCAAGAACGTCTACTCCTCTCAGGAGAGACGATGCATGAGGGTGGATACGAACCCCACCCCCCTCCCTTTCCCGAATGCAGAATGTTGTATTGTGTGTGACCTTGAACCCCAGACCCTAAACTCGACTGTCTTGTTCAGGTGGTGTGATTGCATGGGTCCCTGGATCCTAGCGCCTAAACCATGTTGAACCGTAATCTCTATTACACAGCCAGAACCCTAAAACCCTATATTCCCTAAAATTCTAACTGCCCTCTGAACCCTAAGCCCCAAAACCCACCACGTGAAAACTCTACACCACCTAGAAGCCTTCTTGAAGCCCGGGCCCCTAAAACTCGAAAGCCTTGGCCAGGACCAGCTGGGAGGACCCCAGATCATGGTTCCCAACGGTGTCACGCATCAGGCCGGCGCAGGACCGGAAGCCTTTTTGGTAAATTTCTGGGGCGGAATGGTTTAGGGGTTTGGGTGTGGGTGGAGGGGGTTAGGATTTTGGGGTTGAGGGGTTATGGCTTGAGTTTGATTTGGGGCTGCCAGCCGCCGAAAGCCCGAACGTTGATAGTGAAAGTCGGCGCCCAGGTACTTGCATTCTGGGTTATGCTTCCTTCCGTCCTGAAAGCCAAGAATACGCATAATCCAGTTCTCGACAAGCAGGTTTCGGAGCTCTGTGCGCCTTGTATCCCAAAAGTTTGGGTGTTTAGGGGCTCAGGGTTTAGAAGCCTTACTGATTAATCCAGATTTACAGCTTCCTTCGATCCTTTCAGCCGGCGAGTTCGTCCAGCTTGTCGATTTACACTCGGCAGGGCGACCCAAAGCTGAACACCCCCCCCCCCCCCCCCAGAGGCTCAAAGTTGAAGCCCATCGTAGCCCTTAAGCTCCACGAGATAGAGCCATGGTTTCCGTCGTAGCTGCAGCCCTCACCCTGGCTGGATGGGTATCGCATGTCGCCGCCCACGCAGAGTTTTCCGGGGTGGCCGCTCCATCTCTCCGTGGCCGGGTGACGGTAGTGGATGCTCCCAGTGCCTCAGTGCCCAAATACCCAACCTTTGAACTTTCTGGGGGTTCTTAATTATAACTCGGTAGTAACCTGAAAGTTTAACCTTGAGTTTTCCTGGCTCATGGGGGAAGTAAGGTGCTCCGGTCTTCTTGGACAGTGCGATTTTCGAGCGCTTGGAGCACTTCAAGGATGTAGGTGTCCCTGCAACGCTACAGGACCAGATCGGGCGTGCGACGATTGCAGATGGCACTTGCCGCTCCGTTGTGGCGCCTGGATCTGGTCCCTTTTCCTTGGATGGCTATGCTTTCTGGCACCACAATCCGGAACGAGTCGATGAAGTCTTGAAGGCGCTCGTCCAACTGCCTTCCACATCGCAACCCTCGAAGTTTGTGATTGCGGCAAAGAAGCAGTTGCCAAGTGCCTGTTTCTATGGCAACCAAACCAACAAGCTGGACCTCTACCGACCGGATGCCTTGGCCAAGACGCTTTACAATTGGCACCGGGCCATTTGTGACCTTGACTGGGAGGACCCAGCAGAACAGCCCCAGCAGCAGGCTCTCACTACCGGCTTCATTTGCATGGCCACCTGCGACACCGCGAAGATGGAGCTCACGGCTGCAGCCATGGATGCCTTCTCAGCCAGCATGGCGGCAGCAGAAGCCGCGGCCAGGCTGTTCACTATTACAGGACCATGATGGGGACTTGGTAAGTATGATCAGAGTAGAGAGGATGTCATAACGAGTTTAATCATATATAAGTGTAGCTGTCGTAAGTATCGCCCTCCTGATGTTGCTTCCAGATCCGTTTTGCAGAAGTCCTATGTTTTGGGTGGTTTCACCCCGTCGGCCGCTGCAAAATGGTTACTCGCATCCTTCTCCTTTTCCAGAGAGGGCCAGACTATGTTAGTGACTGTTAGATATTATTACATCTTATTGGTTTATACAGATCCTCAGGGGAATTGAACCCCAGGGAAGTGGAACCCGAATTTCAGGAAAGATATTCGGAACCAAAAGCACTTTGAGGTCGGGTAGCCCGACCTCATGTGAGAGGATTATTGGGCATCCCAACCTTCTGCTTTGGGTTCCTGTTCTTGTTCGATCCCCAAGCGAAGGTAACGAAGAGCATGTGTGCTGCCATGCCTTGGACCAAGCAGGGGCCGGCAACACCGCTGGATGGCCTTAAGTCCTATGAGGAGATTGCCAAAGCAACTGAACCATGGCGTCAAGTGTGCGGTTGTACAGCATGATTTTCGGACCGGTCTCACATCCTGATGAGGATCCTAGGACAGGCCGTATTTTTCGCGCTAGATACGAAGCTGGTGAACTTCAACATGTGACAGAAACATTGTATGTGATGCGCACACTTGCGGCACATATCTAGCACCCGGCTCGTTTGCAAGATGGGGCTGCTTTCCAGGCTGTGACAGGAGATGTCTTTCAAACATCCAGGCCATGGAAGCTGCCGAATATAGAGGCCTTTTTAATCAGAATAGGGTTTTAGGCTCCTTTCTATTATACGTATAATAGATGGAACCCTAAGGAATAGTATCGGTAATTAGTCAGGCTTCTATAATTGCAGCTGTGACAGCGTCGGGTTTGTGGTGTGCTTGGCACCATAACCTGCACTGAAGCACCAACTGTAATTCGCGCGAACCTCCGTGAGAATGACGGGTGATGCTCACAGCAAAAGGAAGTGCCCACAGCCGATACGAGTTTCTTCTGTCGATCTCGCTAAGCCTCACAGGTTGTCATAACTATCGGCTGATTTGGTTTACCCGGTTACCCTGTACCTCCTCAACCCCAAACCTCTGCCGCCCACTAATAAATTAATTGGTTTCGCCTGTAATCCAGAACCCTAGTCCCTAAATCCAACACCCTCTAAAGCAGGTGCCTGGACCTTACGCCCAAAACGCTCCAAAGCAGGTACATGAAGCCTAAACTCAGAGCTAAACCCCTAAGCTAAACTCTCATTGTAGTTCTGGGAATCCACGAGAACGTCTACGGTTCAGCGTGTTGGCCTTCATGGGAACCATAGTATATGATCCACCCCAGCCCTTCTCTACTAGTAAAGGGGCCCATACCTGGACGGTCATACCCCATCCCTTTTTTAGGGTACTTAATTTATTGTTAGGATCATGCTCTCTAGGTCAAGGAATGTTCCTCTGCTCTGCATGAGCAAACCCTCAGCCCGAAACCCTGGTCGGGCATCTTTTCCGACGGATGCACTTCAGGGATAAGACATCAGGAGGGTTTAGACTTGAAGCCTTCTTGGTCTGGAGGCAATAAGCTTTCTGATTTCTTTGGTGACAAGGCCCAAACCCCCAATGCCGTAAACTCCCTCAACCCGTAACCGCCCTCCCTCCTACACCTCTTAACCTGAAACCTTAAGCCCTTGGAGCCTTCGACTCAGGAGGCTACTTAGGGCTGTCTTGCCCAGGTTTCTTTGCAACATAGGCGGGTCCCCAATCCCTAAACCCTAAACCTAAACCCTAAACCCTAAACCCCCAAGTCGTTGCTTGTTGGGTATCCAGGTCGTGCGAGACGACCAGGAGGCCTGACACTGCGCTTGGGGTTGAGTAGTTCATAGTTTTAGTTCACGGCTTTCATGTTTCGGGTTTAGTTTAGGGTTTGGGTGTTAGGGCCAAAGGGTTATGGCCACAGGGTTAAAGGCTAGAGGTTTCGAGTTTGGGGTTTTCGGTCTCGGATTCAGGCTTTGGGGAGTTTGGCCTATGATTCCTTTCGGGTCTGCAGCATGATGGCATGGGGTTGATGGCTCAGGTTTCAGGGCTGGGGGTTTAGGATTCCGGCTACCACCGTTGTTGGTGTTGGAACCGTTTAGGGTTTGGGGTTTAGGGTTTAGGGCTTAGGGTTTAGGGTCTAGGGTTTATGGTATCTTAGCGGTTAAAGAGCTTGTCAGACTTTACTTTTGGGCGTGCGCTGGTCGAACTTTCGATTCAATGGCCAAGGTTCAAGGGGTTTGTTGCAGTGGCTTGGATCGTGGAGGGCAAGCCAGCAAAGGCACAGCTTAGTTGCAGTTGTCCCCCCCTTCACGGCCACCCCAACTCAAAACGAATCGAACTAGGCTGCTGTAGGGGCTTATGACATGAACTGCACATGCTTGCACACAGAGACCATGTAGACGAGTTCCAGATACCGATTTGGGCCTGGCTGAAGCCGAATGCTTCAAACCCCTAAACCCTAAACCCTGAACCTTCGGCAGGCTTTCTGAGTTTGCAGGATGGATCTCGAAGATCCCTACCAAGGGTCGCCTCTGGAGCTTGGAGAATCGACTGCAAGCAGCTCAGAGTCGCTTGCAGGCGTCTGAGAATCCAGTGCCGGCATCTCCGGTGTCGGAGGATCGAGCTGACTCAAAGGCAAGTGTGTGGGCTATCCCATAGAGAGGCTCAGTGAGAAAGCACTTGCTCAGTGACACTCCACGCACTACTGTAGACCAAGACACGGACAAGAAGCGTGCGACCGCGCTCACCAACTACGGCTTGGGTACCGTGGTGGAGCCGATGGTGCACGGCATGAGGAAAGAGGAAACAGTTGCAGAATCTCGCAAGAATAAGAACTCCGAGGTACAGACTTCGGTCTACAGCTTTCTGCAGAAGCAAGCCTTTCCAGTGGCTCGGGCTAGTGCTCTTCACCTGAGTCTTATTCGCTTGAAACAACCCTGAACCCTGAGCAGCTTAACGATTGAACACCCAATTCTGAGAGGGCATGGGCGCCATCCTCGATTGGCTCTCCTATGTGCCCAAGGTGGGGAGAATGTGAAACGGAGCTGGAATGATGACTTCTCTCATACTGCCAAGCTTCCTGTTTGTTGGGTTCCGTATACATATTAGTATAACATGATTCTGGAAGTTGACGGGGAGAGCTGGGAATTGGGGGTCTTTCGGGTGTAAGTTCCGGGTATAGGGTGTCAAGGCTTTGGGTTTACGCCTTCAAGAATTGAAGATTTGGGATGCTTGAGGTTATAGGGCTTAAACTCTGTTGTGCCGATGTTCATAGTTTATGATTCAGGAAGTATTCAGGATGTTTGGGATCATATTCGTAGTTTATGGTTCGTGATGTTGAGCTTGGAATGCGAAATTGCTGCCAGTTTTGAAGGCAGAATTCGGGTGGTGTTCGTAACGGTTTGGGGTCATCCGTGTGGCAGAAAGTGCAGCTGGCATCAGTATGATTGGTGCGCACTGCACCGAAACGCCCATTCCATGTTGGGAATGTACGGCAACAGCTTCGCGATACAGGATTGCGTGCTAGATGTCTCCATGTCCTAACCGCAGGATGTTTCGTGCCTGCCACCGGTTTGCCAGCCGCTCAAAGGGTTCTGCTTGCAGAATTTTAGCGCTCGGTTAAAGTCCGCTATACCCCAAAGCCCCAAACCCTAAATCCTGGCGCTTGTTTTCATGGTTTTAATGAAAATGTTCTCAGCTCGTCAGGTCGTTATCTAATTCGATGTTACAGAGGTCCACATGATTTCAGACCCTTCAAGATATCAGATTGTTGCAGGTCATGGTAAGTATGTCTCGAACTGGAAGTTCCTATTTGCAAAGGACCTTGTAGGATGTAGGGTTGAAAGGCCTATGGAATTTAGAGGGTACTCCCAGTCCGAAGTGTTTTTGCGTGTGGAAAGCATGAGTGTCGGAGTCTCAATATATAAGTAGTCACTAAGTCACTAAGCAGTCCATACAATTTTGCAGCGTTTTATGCCCTATCCCCCGAACCCCTCCTTGAACCAGCATAACTGACTGTTCTGGTATGCCCTCATTATATACCCTAATATAGTGTGTTCATCGGGACTTCACAGAAAAGCAGATTTTGGTAGTTTACGATAAGCCCCAAATCCTCCACCCTACTGTTGATGATATAAATCCTGCATTACCTTAAACTGTGGGAACTATATGGTATCTTCCTCACTCTGGGTAATGCAGGATTTTTCTCATCAGCCGTGGTTATCAAGGCCCTTGTATTGGATTCGTTCAGGGCTTCAGGTTGAAGATGGTTTTGGGCGTCAGAGTTCTGACGCTAAGTCCCCGGAGTGTCGTCCACACCGACATTGCTAAATTAGTCCCCAAAGACCATGCTCGTTCTGTGCTTTGGGGACCTAGGTTTAGGGTTTAGGGCTTAGGGACCCGGTATACATGGACCCGATTACGTGCGAAACCCTCCGATAGCAGTTAAGAGTCGGCTGGCCCATCAGAAGCAAAGAGTTGAACAAGGTTTCCAACAACTCCGGGGCCCATGTCTCTGGTTCGTGGCTTAGTGAGACTTTAGTGTGAAAAAAGGTGTTTAAGTACCAATCCGACAAATACAAGAAAGTCTAAAAGATCAGGGGCATATCGTGACCAGATTCGGGGTCTGTGGCATCGTGTGTAAATTGTATAACTATAATTACGTCTTCGGCACGAAGGAGCACAGCGTTTACTAACCCCTATATAATATCCGAACACCGATAACTACAAGTGGCTTATAGAATTCTATGGAGTCCTTACCACATTTACGAGGCAGGCATGGAAAATCCCAAGCCCTAAAACCTAAGCCGTAAACCCTAAACCCTAAACCCTAAACCATTTAAAAAACAGAAACCCTGAACTCTTAGCCTCTGGACAAAGGCCAGCCGTCCGGCAGTGATCCGTGGGATCGCGACGTGGAGTTCGAGCCCACCCCGCCCATGCCTCGGCATTCGGTCCCTTTGGGGTTAGGGCTCATAGGGCTTAAAGTTTAAGTGGGTCTAATTAGAGTTGAACGATAGCGGCTAAGGATTCCAGGTTCGGTGCTATTGGACAGTTCAAAGAACGGGGCTTACAAGTGATGCAGATCTAGCCTGCGGGTTTTAGCAGATCTGCGTAGTCGTGAGTACAGGAGCCCCAAAGCTAAGTGTATTCATCGTCTGAAGCGCTGGAGCTTCGGGCTGGGCGCCAGTACGGCCCTATAAGACGAGTTCATCCAGTTCCCTTGCCCAAAGGCTCCATGTACCTTTATAGTAGATACTTAGGCCTTAAAGGGGTCCCTATATAGGTACTTGAAGGCCTAAGTATCTACTATATGGGTACATGGAGCCTTAGGGTTGGCTCAGATGATGGCCCGAACACATTCAACTCCAAGTCTCATGGCTGCAAAGTTGAACTTTACATCCTAAGCCCGAAACCCTAAACCCTAAACCCTAAACCCTAAACCCGAAACCTTAAACCTCTATATTGAGCAAGAGAACAGGGATAAGGAACGATGAGTGCTGGGGTTCCATAGACTCTATCTTCAAGGCAGGAGGATGATGGTTTCTACCTCAAAGCCACAACCCTAAGCCCCAAACCCTAAACCTTAAGCTTGAACTTTTCATCCCACTCGGCCCGTCCCAAGTTCTGGAGGCTTCCCTACGATCCGCGCGACTTCCTCCGGGTCTTTGCCCAAGGTTTCAGTACAAATTTCAGGAGCATCAGGGGTTTGGGGTTTGGGTGGGATTTCCCTGCCTTTTTCCAACCTTATGGCTTTTGCCTAGGTGCCTTGTTGGGTCCCCAAGCTTACAGATTTAGGGCCCGGTCGGGTGTGGTGCAGACGTCCGAGTTCGGCATTGCTTATCGTTTAGGGTTGCCCAAACCACCGGCCTTTTTGAGGTACCCTAAACCCTAAACTCTAAACCCGAGGGTACTATACAAAGGGACTTTGTGTGCTGCTCCGAGGATGACAGCCCCGCCATGAAGACAGGATTTTGGTTAAGGGTTTTGAGGTTTAGGAGCTTGGCTTAGGGTTTAGGCTGTGGTTTAGGAGTTTAGTTTAGGGTTTAAGTTTAGGGGTTTGGCGTTTTAGACTTTCCACACGTTCAGTTTGCAGGATCTTCGAGTTGAGGCTTTAGGGCGTCAGGGCGTAGAATTGTTGGGCTGAAGGGTCTTGGGTGTTTAGGGCTTAGGGCCGTTTAGGGTTGAGGGTTTGGGGATTTTGGGGTGAAGGGTCTTGAGTGTGTAGGGTCTAAAACTCCCCGTGAACCGCATGATCGCAGATCGCTGGCTTATATACTGACCTTGTTTCTCGACCGTGTGGGGTATGTAGAGCTGCTTGAAGATGTGAGTAGGTCCAAGTCAAGGAGAAAACCGTATTATGGGGCTCTTCCCCTCCATTTGCCGTCAGACTATATGCCTCTATTGATGTCATTGATTTATTGTGAATTCCGATACATGGGCCACCTTTTGACTTGGAAAAGCCCGAGTCCCGCCAGTACGTGGGAGAAAGCATATTGGCCCCCCACATGAGTCCTGCCAGTATTTTGGGGCAGGCATTTTGGCCGTGCTCCGGAATCCTCGCCAGTACTTCTGAATCTGCCCATATTTGGGGGAGAAGTTTGGTCCTGCTCCTGAATCCTGCCAGTGTTTGGTCCTGAATGCCGCCGAGACTTGGGGAAAGCATTTCGGCCGTGGGGTCTGGTGGTCTCCTGGGGTCTCTGTCTCTCCTAGTGGTTTCCTCGTGGTGTCCTGCGGTCGTGGTTGTCATGATCGTCATGGTCAGGATCGTCGTGGGGCTCTATCAGTTTTCGGAGATCTACATGACATAATTCAACCATGTGAATCGTCATACTTGCAAACAGGCTGCCACTGCCATGCAATTAGTTATTGCACACTTCAGAAAAGACTTATATCATCGTTTAAGACTGTAGGGCCAGATGCTACATGAAGACAACGCAACGGAGACGGACATCAGGGAGGTCACGGCGGTGCTTGCGGTCGGGGCTGCTGTACGAGTGCATGGACTGCAGCGAAAGCCGGAGCTGAATGATTGATGTCATTGCGTCTGCCAGCCCGGGCGCTGCGCTGGGACCAGGAGACCGACGATGGGCGGTGCCAGCCAAGAGTCGGGAGGAGCCCGGAAAGCGTCGCCGTGGTGGTCAGGACGACCGACCAAGTCGGACGAATGAGCGTTGTTGCGCTGTGGGGAAGCCATGAAGATCATCGCCAAAACAAAGCTGCTGCCTGATGACCAACTTCTTCGACGATTTCACGGTGTTGTCCACGAAGACCAACAGCCCGCGCGCGGGGACAGTGGTCTCCTTCCTGTTTAAGAAGTTAGTCTGGCAACTTGCAAGCGAAGCCAAACCCTAAACCGAAAGCCGACCCTTCTCTGTTTGACGTGCTCGGTGGGGGACCCGTCGAGCGTGTCGCGCCCATTTCCGTCCGGGCAGCGATCCAACGCAGGCGGCTGTTTAGGGTTTATAGGGTTTGGGGCTAGGATGCTGAAAATGCAAACCGCAAGTGTGAGATCCGACCCTGCGACTTTGAAGTCGGGTTCGGGGTTCAGGATTAACTCCTAGTTGACTCCTAACTCGACTGATAGATGACTATCATGTCTATATCCCAAACCCACACTGTAAGACCTAAATCCTTAAGCAAAGGCCCTCTGCGAGCCCTTCGAACACCCAACCTTAAACCTAAGCCCTAAACCCTGTAAGCCCTACTTATAAATCCTATCCGTCCTGAACCCCAACCTCAAGAGCCCCTGATCCCTACACCCACACCACCAACCCCTCCAAAACACCCTTAACAATCCCTAGTAATCACCCAAAACCCCAACAGCAAAACCCTTTCCTCCCCTCCCCCTAAACCCTTAACCCCGCAATCCTCAAAAGCACCCAGGGCGTCATCGACCACGAGGGAAGCCGCAAGCGCGGCTTCTTCGATGCGGGCTCATGGATCGAATACCTCGAGGTGCCTGGGGCTTATGAGGTGTAGGGTTTGTGGTTTAGGGTTTAAGGGCTTAGGGCTTAGGGTTTATGGTAGGGGGGTGTATAGGGCCTTCTATATTGGGCTGGTATTGTTTGTGGGGTTAAATTAAAGGCTTTCGGATTTAGGATCCAGGGTCTGTGGGCTAGAGTTCAGAGTTCAGGCTTTGGACTAGAGTTTAGGGTTGAGGGTTCAGAGATGAGGGTACAGGGTTCACGGTTTAAGCTTGAGGGTCTAGTGTGCAGGCTTTAGGGTTTAGGGTTGAGGATTAGTGGCACGGAGATGTCAAAGACTTATATACAGAAAATGACAGGCGATTGAGTTTGTTTTTTTAAGGTACGGCTTCAGCTTTTGTTTCGTGGGCGGGAGAAGCATGCTTGTGCTGCTACGGTGCAAGTAACATCAGTCTTGGGGATTATCGGTGAGATCTGCCAAGATGATCCGGCTCAATACCTTGAATATCAAAAACATTATCTGCTTCATTACTGTTAATCGTCATGTCACTTGCCCGACCGCCTCAATATCTGGATCAAAACATCATTCACTTTCTGTTGCAAGTCAGCGGCCGACTTCAGAAAACACAAGTCAACCCTAATCCCTAAACCAGAGATTTCTCAGACATAAACACTAAGCCCGAAACCCTGAACTCTAAGTACAGTACCCACTCCGGCAGGGATGGGGCCGCACCGTCATCGTCGGCCGGGCTCGCCTGGGAGGACTCCGAGGGTCGAATCTCTGACTTTCGGATGTACTTAGTAGTAGAGGTAACCTTTCATTTTTGTTGGGTGGGGTATTTCAATCCTTAAACCCTAAATCCTATATACTCCCATGATACTCACAAAAGGTAACCGTTAGTTCGCCGCGATACTGGACAAGTAGATGTATTTCGTCACGAATCCCATTCACTTCCCCATCATAGTAGTAACTCTTATTACGGAAACCCTACAGTCTACTATAGGACCCTTTGGGACTGCAGGTCAGAGGTCATGCTGTGATACTTAAACTTCAACACTGGAAACTATGTCGACCTTCATGCGAGGGTTTTGTTGAGGGCGGGTTCCGATGTTGTCGCTGTCTGTGCAGATGACGTGGATGGTAGGTTGATTGGGATATGGCTGCCACCAGCTGTGTGGATTATAGGGTTTAAGGGACAGTACCCCTGCCCCCCCCCTCCCCGGCCCCCCCTCCCACAAGTATGATGCAACTCGCGTTAATATCCCGCACATGGGTCGTTCTCTAAATTGAGATCCCTTTCGGGTCGTGTTGTTATAGGGGTGCCATGCTATTTTGGGGGGCCTAAAAGGGACCCTAATTTAGAGAACTAGCCACATGGATGTTCTTGGCCTAAACCCTTAAGTCCCTAAAAACCCTACAAAAACCCTAAACAGCCCTAAAACACCCTAAAACACCCTAAAACACCCTAAAACACCCTCAAACACCCTAAATCCTAAACCGATGGACTTGAACATTCCGGCCCGGAGCCCCGCGGCCCCCCAAGACCCTGGGCCTGGGACTTGTAAGTATTATTTTAGGGTTTGGGGTTTAGGGTTTAGGGTTTAGGGTTTAGGGTTTATTGCTTTAAGTTTTAAGTACCTTAACTGTGGAATATGACTCATTATACGTAGAGTCTCCTTACCTTACTTATAACTTATAACCCTAGTTGCAAGGTCCCATGTATAGGCCTGAACACACACACACACACTCTCTCTCTCCCTCTCTCTCTCTCTCTTTCTCTTTCTCTCTCTCTCTCTCTCTCTAAAGACGTGACAGTAAATAATACTTGGTAGGAACATCCCCCTGTAATCCCTACACTACACAAGTCCAGAGAAAATCCACCCTCCCCCCAACCCGATTCTGACGGTAAAGGTTCCTCTAGAAGGTCTTCAACCAAAAGAGCGCCAAAGTCGATCTCAAAGTCTCCGGGTTTCGGGTTTAGGGTTTAGACTTTGGGGTTTAGGGTTTAGGGTTTAGGCTTTGGGGTTTAGGGTTTAGTTCTTTGGCTTTGGGGTTTAGGGACAAGTTCGGGCTTTCAGGGCCTACTGCAGATCAGCCGAAGCTCTTTTTGAACATGTAAGGCCCGCTGAAAGGGTCTAGGGCTGATCCCGTATCCCCGCCCCTCCCGCGCCAGAAACCTTCTTCCAAAACTACCCAAAACCCAAGAGTCGGCAGGCATGCCCATGGGCGTCATTGCAGCCCTTGCCTCGGTCCCGCATAGCTGCCAGACGTAGGCCCCTCCCTCATTAGAGCCTCTTCTGCAATGTGGGTTGATCGTTTGGGGAGCCTTGTTCGGAGGGCGTTGACTCATTAATTGAAAAGTCTACTTCAAGCGCGAATCCTGTAAGGTGTCATAGGTCACCCTAACCCTCCAGGTACCTACTATATAGGGCCTTAGGGTCTCTAGTACCCTATATAGTAGGTTACTGGAGGGTTAGGGTTGCACCAAATCCAGTCACTTAGGTGACCTTGAGCCCGACAGTCCGACGCCCTAGTGAACTATAGCCTTTCATCCCTAAGTGCGGCAGATCGAATGATCCGAACCCAGCCAAAACCCTAAACCCCCATAGGCTGCTAGTACAAAACCCTGAAGACAGAGCGGCAATACCAAAGACTCCAAAACGGCAAACTGGAAACCCCAGAGCAACCACCAGAAGCCCCAAAAGCCTGAAAAGCCACAACCCATGAAGCCTGATAGAAAGAAGCTCCTTAGAAACCCAGAAAGCCTAGTAGAAAGAGCCAAAAGCCCAAAAGCCTGGTCGAAACAAGCCCTGATAGAAATAACCCTAAATCCCTAAATCCCTAAACCCTAAAACCCTAAACCCTAAACCCCGGGTGGCGGTGGGCTGAGGTGGAGACGCGCAGCGTGGACCGCCTTGTGCCGGCCGATCCATCGAACTCCGAGAGCTGTGAGGCCCGGCCTGGCGGGGGTTTGGGGTTAGGGTTTAAGGAGTTTGGGTTTTAGGGTTTGGGTTTAGGGTTTGGTGTTTAGGGTTTAAGGAGTTGGGGTTTTAGGGTTTAGGGTTTAGGGTTGAAGGTGGGAGGTTGGTGCTTGTTTCTTTCGGAGTGTTAGGGAGACTCCTTAAAGGGGACCCTTCTTAACCCTACTTATGGCTCTCTCGACAGGGACCTCGCTGAGAGGGTCTATATCCCCAAGGGTCCCCTTAAGGATTAACTCCTAAGTAGAGGGTAGGGCCCGGATGACGGCATCTCAGCGGTGGATTGCAAGGCTTCACGACGAGGGGGGACAAAGTTCACGGAGTGGGGTTTCACGTGTTGGGCTTCGGGATTTGAGTTTAGGTTTGAGCTTGGAACATCCGCTTCGTCAAGGGCAAAGCAATATTAATGTCAACCATCATCCCTAGTCCACGCAACTTGCGGGGGTTCACGGTAAAACTTCTAAAAAAATCCTGCAGCCGAACATCGAAAAACAACCTAAACCCTGAACTCTATAAGCCTTATACGTAAATCCTGAAGCCGAAGCCCTGAAAAAACCCAAGCCCTAAACCCCATAAGCCTCGTAAGCCGAAGCAGCCCAAGCTCCAAGTCGAAGAAGATCCAAGACGTGCCTCTGACAAACTTCTCCTGCGGCAGGTCAAGGAGACGAATGGCGGCAAGGCTGGCGTTGCAGTTCGGAGACCCTATGTAAATATCCCTAAACCCTACAAACCCTAAACCCTCTAAACATCCCTAAACCCTTCAAAACCTAAACCCTCTAAACCCCAAACCCTCTAAACCCTAATCCCTATAAACCCAAAACCCTCTAAGCCCTAAACCCTATAAACCTCAACCCTCTAAACCTTTAACCCTACACACCCTAAACCCTCTAAACATCCCGAAACCCAGAAACCGTAAACCCTCTAAACCCAGATTTTATAAACCCTAAACCCTCTTCCCTCAAGCCTCAACCCCGAAACAAGCGCGCCAGCCCGAGACCTCCAAAGTGCCCACTAAACCGCACACCCCAAACGGCCCAAACCCGAAGCCCTTGAGACTCTCAGCCCCACAAACCCTCCATTGGTAAAGCCTCAAGCCCAGACCCTAAATTTCGCCAGAATGTAAGGGTTTAGGGTTTAGGGTTTAGGGTCCCCGCAAATCCGAAGGCCTGCTTGGGGAGAGGGAGACATAAGGGCGTTTCCGAGGCTTGTATGTAAAGAGCTTCGGGGTACCTGCGCTTGGGTTGAGGGCTTTCAGCTTTGAGCCCGTTGCGTCCCTAGCTTTTAAGGGTCTAGGTCGTTCCGGAACAAGGGTGATTTTTTTGAAACAGGGGCCTGCACAACCTGTGAGGTTTGGTTCCCTGACAGTGCCTTCAAGACGGCACAGGCGCTGAAGGACTCACCCGGCCCAGAGGTGTTTGCAGGGCTGACATTAAGTGTAGGGTCGAGGGATTTAGGGTTATTTTGGTGTGCTGTTTTTCGTGTATGGTTAGGGCTTAGGGTTCTTGCATTACATGATCCGTTCTTGGAGCTTCCTGCTGCCTTAGGAAATCGTTGTAGCCTTGTTCAATTCGTTGCATGGCGTAGAGGTATGTGATTCGAAGAAGGCAGGAGGTTTAGGGTTTAGGAGTGCCAGGTTTTTGGAGGTTTAGGATTTAGGGCAGAGTCTATCTCAGGCGGCTATAACCTACGTTTTGTAGAGTCTCATGACAAGGCCGCATATAGATTTCTTGCAAGAACCTTCAAAACACGAGGCGTTTTTGGTGATTCACGCTAGGGCTTTCATCTCGGTTGAAGACTCTGACCCGGCTTGTGGCTTGCGGACTGTTCTTGACTGAGACCCTACACCCTACCTATCGTCTCCATCGTAGTTCCTTTCTGGAGTTACCTTGTAGAATCGTAGAATCCATAAATTGGCTGCAAACAAAGGAACTACAAAGGAGACTAGAGGTACTCTCTGGCCCCCAAACCTTCGATGCTAAGCTTTATAAACCCTCAACCATCAACCCTGGTGGATGAGCAATGACTCTAGGTGTCCAAGTACCCACTAATCGTGTGGTGACCCTCTCCCGAATTCTAACCTCCATAGCTACTCTCCTAAACCCGAATACCGAATTATTGAACCCTCTGGCCAAGGCAGCGGATGAACCCCTTTTTTGGAGCTTGAAGCTACGGGAACCCTATTGAAACCTCAACCCGAAACCGAAACCCCAAACTCAAACTACTGTCTGGTGCTTAGTGAAGAAAAATGGGGGAATGGATCCCTATGATAGCCCCTTAAGATCCCTTAGAATAGTCCCTATAACCCATTCCCCCCATTCCCTACTAAGCACCAGACAGACTAGGGCCCCGATATTTGGGAGGCCCTAGGAATTGCTGGGTTGGTTGTCTGGTTCCTCGGCTCAGGCTTCAAGGGATCTCTGCAGGTTCTATGAGGGCTTGGGGATTGAGGGGTTCTCAAGGGATCTATACATATTCCATAAAGGCTTGGGGTTTTTTAGGGTTTGGGGTTTAGGTAGGTTGTAAAGAGTGCCGGGACGATCGGAGGGGCCGGAGAGGAGTCTGAGAGAACTAGGTTCCATCGGTTTAGGACAAGCCATATACAGACAACGCCAGCCTAGACCGAAAATTGTGGAAAGCTGTGCTCTAAACCCTAAACCCTAAACATTAGCCAACTCGGAGGGTGGCAACTGGGAGAGGGGTTTGGGCTGCATTGGTGGCTGGTAAGGGCTACTGTCTGTCTGGACTGTCTCCTGGCTCCTCGTGAGCCTTTCGTCTTAAGACCTGTCTTGCAGTCGGAAAAGGGAGTTCAACCAAAAAAACTATACAGCCTTAAATCCTGACCTCTGTACTGCAGACCTTCAGCCCAATCAAAAACGCCAGCCAGCCCAATCACTGGAACGGGCTGCAGGATTTCAACCGCGGTGAGAATCTTCCAGCAGTGCTCCCGGTTTTGACGAGACCCCTGTGAGAGCAGATGTGGGCTTGGTAAATTTGCTTCCCGAGTTATATAATAGCCGAGTAGGCGATGTTTCGCCGTTGGGGGTGAGATGACCCCACCAGATTGCAAGGTTTGTATAGTTTCAGAAACCCTCGTCTGGTGTGCATTATATTTTCGGTCTTCAGAACAGCCCTAATTCGGAATCCTTGCGCAGGCTACAGAAAAGTGACTTCTGCTCATGGCAATGTCATGTACGGTCTACTTTTCGTGGCCATCGGTTCGTTAAAGCGTGCTGCTAGAGCTTGAGATTTTGTTAGTCTTCAAACGATTCTAAACTTGACCTTTCTGGGGCTTCGACTAGGCCTTAGACGTCAGGCTGCAAGATTCCAGCTTTGAAGCCGGATAGGGCAAACGACCCAGGATATTCCAGGTGTTTCTGTTGATAGGTGTTGGCCTATTTGCCCCTCCCTAAACCCCCAACAGTAGGCAAAAAATTGCCCAGCACTTATAAAAGGCTATTATTCTACATACTTTCGGCGTCCAGGTAGAAGCTGTATACTAAACCCTAAACCCTAAACCTCTATAAGCTTTATACTAAACCCTAAACCCTAAACCTCTATAAGCTTTATACTAAACCCTAAACCCAAACCTCTATAAGCTTTATACTAAACCCTAAACCCTAAACCTCTATAAGCTTTATACTAAACCCTAAACCTTTATAAGCTTTATACTAGACCCTAAGCCTCTATAATCTTTATACTAGACCCTAAGCCTCTGTAAGCTTTATACTAAACCCTAATCCTCTATAAGCTTTATACCCCGTCGGATGTCGGTGCTTCAGATCTCGTGTTCGGGCTCCCGGAGCGCTCCGTCGGGCCCAGTCGAGACTATGTTAGTGTTTAGGGCTTATAGGGCTTAAGGCTCCTAGTGTGTAGGGTCTAGGGTGTCGGGTTTAGGGGGTTTAGGGCTTCTAGGGTTTAGGGCTTTTTTAAGGATTAGGGTTTAGGGGGCTTAGGGCTTATGGGGTTTAGGGCTTACAGGGTGTAGGGTGTGGGGCTTTAGGGGTTTAGGGTTCAGGGGTTTAGGGTTTAGGGTTGAGGGGTTTAGGGTTTAGGGCTTAGGCTTGAGGATTTAATAAGGGTTTATAAGACTTAGGGATTTGTGGCTATAGGTAGCATATGGGTGTGAATCCTTTGGTGTTCTTGGATTCTCGGTTTTCCTTTGTAGGCTGAGTGAAGCCCTCCACCCATCAAATCCGCTTCTGTGTGTCGCGGCCTCTATGCGATTCTTTGCAATGTAGTGCCCTTAATCCCTAAACCATCCTGAACCGGAAACTGCCTAACAATTATTGAATTCTTTGCACCTTGTAAGCCCCAAGGCCCGGAGCCCTAAACGCCGTAGTAGGATCCTTAGGGTTTAGGGTTTCGGGCTTGGGGTTTCGAGGTCATCATCTTCGCCAACTGGCGAGGCTTCTCCGGCGGTACTCGTGCCGTGGCGGCACGAGAGACATAAGTATATACTCGCCAAACAGCTGCAGAGAGCACCCACAATGTCACAAGCCGCTTGTTTGATGGTCCTGTAGATGGGTATGCTACATCAGGGCCTGATGTGTGCTGTACGCACTAGTGCACATCCGGCCACCCTTCTGCAGAAGGACTGCTGTAGTTTGCAAAAAGGATGTTGAGCACAGATGGCGGTTGTGTATCGTAAGCTCAGCATACTGCCACTGCCATACTGCTGCTGCTGCTGCTGCTACTGCTACTGCTATTGCGACTACTACTGCTACTGCAGCCGGCAACGCAAGCTCTAGTAAAGCGACGCGGAACCAGGGAACCCTGGAAAGCGACACCCCCAGTCCCGCGACCTAGCCCCGATGAACGAAGTTTAGGCAGTCGCTCGTATGGGAATGTTGTGTCCAATGCAATGCTAAGATGTCTTCATGATTTATGCATGCCGATATCGGATTTCTTCACGAAAGGTACAGACTTGCCTGTGGTATGATCGAAAGGCTCCAGTGATCCACATGTAAGGTTTGGTAACTTCAGCATCTACGGCGCTTCCATACGGCAAGCCCTTAACTCTTTTGAGTCGGGTGTGCAAAACCAACCAATTTTCAAACAAGCCAGAAACCGTCAATCTTAAGCCCCTCCTCATGCCCAGGGTCACTTTCGCCCAGAGACAAAGCTAATCAGTAGATATTTGACAGTGAAACCCAGGGGACATGTACAACGAGATCCTCAAGTTTGGTGTGCTTTGGCTGGATGTAGAGGATTAATATTAATATGCCTAAAAGCTTTTTTTGTTGAAAACTTCTGCTGCTATAATTACTGTTGCCGGGCTTAGGCTCAGGGTTGAGAGTTCAGAGTTTAGGGCAATAAGTTTGGGTGTTTGGTCCACAGAGGCTGCAGGTTGCAGGTTTACGGCAGTCAAGGGCTTTGCGTTCAGGGCTGCAGGCTTTTGATGCTTCAGAGTGAGGGTTGAGGTTGGACCTAGAACCCTTCAACTAACCTATATGGTATCCTTCGTACCTACGATTGAGCACCATAGGGGCTCGACTACCGGGTGCTGTGGGAGGTTTTACTATAGTAGCCCTCCTAAGGAACCCTAAGTAACGTACCCCGGGCTGGTGGGCTATAGGGTCGAGTCGTGATATGGATCTAAGCCGGAGTCCCCTTTT